TTTTTTTTTTTTTTTTTTTTTTTTATTTTGTTTGAAATTCAAAGTGATTTCATCGAACAAAATGGTAACATTTTTTTATGAAAGATAATAGATAAGTATTTCGATTAAAGAATGTAAAAAGAATGTAGAAGAAATATTGCGTTAAGAATAGACCAAAAAACTTTTAGACGAAAGCAGTACATAGTTTGTATTTGATCGTCTTTAGCGCATAATTGATTGTAAACAGATTACGAATTTAATCGATATACTGAGGATAAGGATAAGATATTTGTATATTGTTTAAAACGTATAGAGTTTAACTCTTGTGATTAAAGAGGAAGTATGAAGAAAAAAAAAGGGAATGGTATTTCATGTACCTCATATTGTGCGTTATATGATTTCGTAAGATAATTAGAAATTCGTAAAAATATTAGATTGGCAGGAAAGCAATGGTCGAGAAATTTTTAAATCGAAACGAAAAAAAAAAAATGGAGAATATCCTAGTCGTGATAAAAAAAGATTGATCGTGTGTAAATTATAAAATCGATCAATAGTAAGAAAAAATTAGGATATAACAGAAATGAATAAGCCGCCATTATCCCCACTCCCCTTAATAATGAATATTGCATTAAGAAATAAAAGCTTAAATTTTGTTCTATAATTATTTACCTATATGACGATTGTAACACTGACACAGGTTGTACATCTTGCGGCTGACCTCAAGTATTCTTTAAATTCACGCATAATTATCGACATAATTATAGATACCTATTATGAATATAGCAAGTAGTAAGTAATATCAATAAAATAATGGAATAAATGTCTATCCTACTAAATTCTTGTTGAAATTATTTTTTATGTTATAAATACCTTCCGCTTTTATTAGGTAAAATTATTATTATTACCAAGAAGATGTCATCGCTCAAATATACTCGATTCAAGATTCAAGAATATTTGTCATTTCGTTATGTCTTATATTTATGGGTAAGTTATTTGTTATACATTTAATTATATTTTTATTTATGATATAAAATATAGTTGAAGAATATCATATATTAATTTACAATCATTTTTAAGAAAATAAATATTTATTTACAATATTGTAATGAATGCACATAATTAAAATAAAATACGAAAAAAGATATGTAAAATATATAATGAAAAAATAATAGTAAAATTTATCTACGATTAAAATTTTATTATGCTGTCAATTAATTTTTATCATTTTTTCATCTTAAAGGTTAAATATGATGTCTAGATGATGCAATAAAAAAGTTTTTTTAGATTACCAATTAATTATGTATTCCTTTCTGGAACTCATATAAATATTAGATCATTGTTGGTGGTTTTTTAAAACATATTAAAAATATTATTTATACATACATATATCACGAATCAATGACCTGCAACGCTTCAACGGTAAATCTGACGTTCATTAATATCATAAACAAGAATATTTAACATAATTTTAATTTTTTAATATTTGTAATTTTTTCAAATATATAATCTATATATTATAAAATAAATATCATTGAGGTAAAAACACTTAAATGTCTCATAAAAAATTCATTTTTTAATTTATTTTATTGCTAAATTTAAATAATTTAGATTTAATTTAGAGATTGAAGAGAATAATTATTTTATATTTAACATTTGCTTAAATATAGTAAATATAATTATAATTTTTTCATGATTATAATAGATTTATCTCATAAAAATGAAGAATATAGTTCAATATAGCGCATAGCTCTAACGTGTAGATCGATAGGTTGTCGTTCCACATTCTTCTTTGTACTTACCATGGATGCTCAATGAGTTGATGACCTTGACCAACTATTACGAAGACGTACATTTCCGGAAATGTCCTGATCTCACTTCAAATCTTTCTCCGACGTGATACATTGTACACAATCTTTTTCACAAAGTGAAAATATTGGTGAAAATATTCCCAATTAAAAGAAAAATAAAATAAAATTTTATTGTGAAATTAATAAATAAAAAATTTATAAAATATAAATATATTGATAAATAGCAGAAAAAATTATAATACTAAAAAGATATGAAAATTGAAATGTAAATATAAAATTGTTTAAAAATATTTAAAAATATTTAATTTTAAAAAAATCCGTTTAAAGATTACAACTAATCTAAAAATAATAATTATTATAAGGGAATAGATGATTCGTTGATCTAAATAAAAGGATATGCTATATTGTTTGTCTTCGTCTCATATAATCACTTCCCGCTATCTTTCTTTGGTATGGAATTCGTTCTGAATGCGCATGTGCAACAGATTAATGCGGCGCGCCAAATATTGATATTCATATTGTTATATCTTTAAAATTTTATTTTTATTTTATATAATTTATGATGAGCAAAAACTGAATCTCTTTATTAGTAACTTAAAACTAATATAAAATATGGTAATTCATTTATATTTAATATACAATATAATAAAAATTCAATCAATAAAATTGCATATATTTTAATTGAAAAAAATTTAAACTTTATACTTAATAGGGTTGGATTTTCTAAACTTATATTCTATAGATTAAAACAATTTAATTTTATATTTTTAAATTCTTTTAATGTATATATTCAACAAGTATACAAAAAATAAAAAGATTTCGAGCATATATTGAAGCATAATGTGTCATGGGACAGTTCATGGATGCCTCTTTGGTGATGAGTATAGAACCGAAGGCAGGTGGCTCTTTATACTATAGCATGAGTTCAATGTGTTCAGTTTTGCTATGACCGTCGTCTGGTCACGAGACATCTCAGAGGTAGAACTCCTATTTTAAGTTCAACGCATTTGGTTTCTGTGTCAAAGAAGAAAGGATACTACAATGAAATTCCGAACATTTGTTGTGAGTTGACAAAATATCTTTTTTTTTTATTTCTAAATATTTTATGAATCTTATTTATTATATATTATTATTTATACTTACTATATTTTTATCCACTAACAATTACAAAATTTTTATTTTTATATATATATTTTTTAAATATTTTTTTATCATTCAACAGAAAGTTGTTTTTATGCAATATTTTTTTTTAAATTATTTGTTTTCAATTTCAATAGACATTGTTGATTAAACATAATTTTTATCAAAACAAATATGTCGAACATGTCTGATTGATATGTATTACAAATCAAAATTAGAAAAAAAATTGTATAAATTTAATGTAAGTTGATGTTTATTATAGAAAGGTCCCGTATTCAGTAATCACAGGGAACCGGTATAAAGTAATACCGTTACACAAATGCGTAATAAACATCATGCGGGAAAAATATACTTTTTCGTCTTTTTTAATATCTTTCATATAGCATGTAAAAAAAATTAGTTGAATTTTATTATGATCATTAATCAAACTGATGTATA